CAGGGACAAGGGACAAGAAGCAAGGGAGGTGGCTCTGGGTGACACCATACACATCACCCAAGGGAGTTCAAAACCCTTGTAGAGGGGACGAGGCAAAACCGGGAAGAGTTAAGGGGATTTTGGCACCAGGGAAGGCACAAAAATGGGCAGAGTTAAGGGGGTTTTGGCACAAGGGAAGAATAAAAAATGGGCAAAGTTAAGGGGATTTTGGCACAAGGGAAGGGGCAAAAATGGGCAGAGTTAAGGGATTTTGGCACCAGGTAAGAGTAAAAAATAGGCAAAGTTAAGGGGATTTTGGCACAAGAGAAGGGCCAAAATGGGCAGAATTAAGAGGATTCGAGCCATGGGGAAAGGAAGAGTGAAAAGCGGGCAGAGTTAAGGGGATTTTGGCACAAGGGAAGGGGGAAAAATAGGCAGAGTTAAGGGGACTTTGGCACAAGGGAAGGCACAAAAATGGGCAGAGTTAAGGGGATTTTGGCACCAGGGAAGGGAAAAGGCAAAAATGGGCAGATTTAAGAGGATTTCGGCAGTGGGGAAAGGAAGAGTGAAAAGTGGGCAGAGTTAAGGGTATTTTGGCACAAGGGAAGGGGCAAAAATAGGCAGAGGTAAGTGGATTTTGGCACAAAGGAAGAGGCAAAAATGGTCAAAGTTAGGGAGATTTTGGCACAAGGGAAGGCGCAAAGATGTGCAGATTTAAGAGGATTCTGGCAGCGGGGAAGGGAAGAGTAAAAAATGGGCAGAGTTAAGGGGATTTTGGCATTGGGGAATGAAAGGGGCAGAAATGGGAAGCGTTCAGGGGATTTTTACACTGGGGAAGAAAAGGGGCAAAAATGGGCAGAGTGCAGGGGATTTCTTGACTCTTGGGTGTTGCTTGGCCCCGTGCCGGTGGTCCCAGTGTTGGTCCATCCCACTGACAGGTAGCATCACCTATGGGTCCCCCTGATGCCAGCCAACTTCTGCTGGCTCCATCTCATGTCCAACGTCCCTCCAAAAGGCAGCAGGGGCTCTGCGTGCCTCAGTTTCCCCCCCACCCCAACATTTCACCAAGCACGGCGGAGCCAGGGAAGCAAAAACCTGGCAAACCATCGGCGCAGGCCCTGGGAGAGGAAAGCCAAGATTTACCCATCCCCATCCTCCCCCCCCGCAACGGCTTTAATTATAGATTTCCAGTAATGCGGAAAAATGAGAAAACTCCCAGTCGTGGCCCAAAACCTGGTTTCTATGGAGATTTATGGAAAGGGAACGGAGGGATAAACAGGTCCAATGATGCCAAACTTTTGCCAAAGAATATATGGCCAGTGCACAGGTCCGGCGCTCGAGCTGTCGCCAAAGAGAATGAGCCAAGCTGGGGTGAGCTCAGAGGAAGGATGCTCGGGAGGGATGGGGGTTTTTTACGCAAGCGTCCCTGGGAACATGACCCCGATGGTTCCCTCCGGGGATCCCCCTCCATCCCCGATGACTTTTTCAGGGTGCGATCACCCCACTCGGGGAGCAGCAGGTGGGGAAGGCAGCGGCCGGGGCACCGGGGGCCGCGTTCCCACGACTCCTCCGCTCCCGCGAGGTGCTATATTTAAATCAATATTTTCCTGTTTAATCCGACTGCTGCTAAGTCAACAAACAGAGCATGGCAGCGAGCATACCTAATTTTCCATCCTGTGCTGGAATCGGACACAGGGAAAAGAAAGATGCAAGGGGTTGCCAGCCTGGCATCCTGCTCATACCTTCCCCGAGCAGCAAATGGACCCCAAATCCACCCCGAATGAACACTAAATGAACCCCAAAAGCACCCTTGCTTGGTGACGGGCTGCTGCACACGCGTGCATGGGTGTGCATACCTGTGCTGCCCATCCCAGCGGCTCATGGGATGCTGGAGGCAGAAAAACTTCCCTGTCTTGAGTTTTTTGGGGGTATTTTTTTCTTGTTTTCTTGAAAGCATCCTTTCTTGCAGTGCCCCCCGCGCCGTGCGCTGGAGTGGTACGTGCTGCTAACGGCTCATGGGGAATTAAAAACCTCGTGCCCGGCATCAGACACAGGGTGAAGGAGCTCTTCTGCACCCAGGACGGCTTGGCCGGCTCCAGCCCCATGGAGGATCGCTGGAAAGCGCCCAGGACAAACAGTCCTGCCGCCGAGGGAGAACAGCACGTTACCTCTCCCAGCCGGGACATGCTGGGCAGCCGAACCCAGCAAACAGCCGACAGAGCAGTGTTCACCTCCGCCAAAGCCACCCCCAAACCATGGGGGTTGGGAAAATACCTTGGGAGAATGATGCTGCGGGGGATGCTGGTCCCCAGAGGAACGTCTTGGGGGAACGATGCTGCAGGGATGCTGGACCCCAGGGGAATATCTCAGGGGAATGATGCTGCAGGGATGCTGGACCCCATTATTAATCCCTTCCCAGCATCACCGGCTGGAGACGGACCCCGGGACAGACGGATCATCACTGTGGTGCAGGACAGAAGCTCCAACACCCCAAAATCCCCAAGCAGCGATGACCGCTTCCCCGAGGAGATGATTGACCTCGTGACGCCGGCCCTCTCCACTGAGTTAGGAAGTGGGGAGAGGGGAAATAAAAAATAAAGCTTATTTCTTCGCTGTTGGTCAGGGAACACGTAAATCTCCACTCCCAGCCAGCCATCCCGGTGCCAAGTTATATCCGGTCCTCGATGCTCTCGCCTATAATTAAAGCAACTCCCAATAAATCAAAAAGAGAAATAAAAAAATCCTGGTTTCAGTTATGTTATGGCTGCAGCACAAAGAAATTCAAAGGCAGGAGAGAGATTTGAAGATACAGCTGCGGCGTTGCCCTTAAAAGGGAAAATTCGCACCCTCTTTGCCGAGGCTGACGGGTTCAAGCAAGGTGAGGAGCAGCATCCCCAGGGTCCGGCCCTGTAGGGTGGCCCATGTCCCCGAGGTGATGCTTGGCCAAACTGGGTTCTCAGTTGCCAGAGCCCAGTGCTGGAGTTGGTAAAAATCCACTTGAAATGATCCCAAAGTGACCAGGATTGGGGGGCGTACCAGGGTGCGGGGTCAGCAGAGCATCCCTGGTACTGGGGCTGTCATGGGGTGGGCACCATCCCGTGGGGCACTGCAGGAAGCTGCCTGAATAAGAAATATCTCTTTATAAATTATTAACATAAACCCTATATTATATAAACTTAACATATTAATAATTCAGTAAGAGCTATTTCTTTATAAAGAAATGCTGCTGGGTACACTGCCTTGCCTTGGGGACCCACCGATATCCCCAGGGCGTTGCCAGCCACAGCCCCGGGATGCTCCTCATTACCCCGCTTAATTGTAAACGCTTGATGATTCAATAGCACTTTTCACCCCGAGATCGGAGAGGACAAGCACCTCGCTCTATACTGGTACATTGGGCAAAAAGCCTGCAAAAAATCCCCCAAATTTATTTCCAAGGATGTTTTATGTGGGAGCCAAGAGGTCCCCATTCTCGGCCACCAACGGCTGTTGTTTGGCAATGGGGACAACAGCTGGAGAAGGAGATGGATGGGGCGCAGAGGACCCCCAGGAGAATAGGTTGAGGGAATGATGCTGCAGGGATGCTGGATCCCATAAGAATATCTTGGGGGGAAGATCCTGCAAGGGATGCTGGACCCCAGGAGAATATCTGGGAGTAATAATGCTCTGGGGATGTCAGACCCCAAGAGAGTATTTGGGGGGGATGATGCAGGGATGATGGATCCCATGAGAATATCTTGGGGGGAGGATGCTGCAGGGATGAGGGACCCCAGGAGAATATCTTGGAGTAATGATGCTGTGGGGATGCCAGACCCCAAGACAGTATCTTCAAGCAATAACGCTGTGGGGATGCTGGACCCCAGGAAGAATATCTCGGGGGAAGATGCTGCAGGGATGCCTGACCCCAAGAGGATATCTTGAGGGGAATGATGCTGTAGGGATCTGGATTTCGGGAGAGTGCAAAAAAAAAAACAACCCTGCTTCATGTGGTTCTGCCCCGGCCAGCAAGGGTTACACTGCCGGGCTCAGCCTCGGGGACTTCACGCTTGGCTGCCGGCGGCTGTTGGAAGGGAACGGTCCAGCCCGTCCTCTTGAACCGGCATCGAAACAGGGCGAGAGAGCCCTGCCAGCCCCATTCCCGCGAGCTCTCGGCTCATCCCCCGCGGGAACGGGTATTTCTGGGCTTTGCCCGGAGCTATTAAAAGCCCCGTGGGTGCCGGCACTGCTGTGCCGCAGGAGGAGGTGGCGCTTCCAAGCGCTTCCCGGCACAAACACCCGGAGCGATGGGAACCCAAGTCCATCTCCAAACAACAGCCAAGGGGCCAGCGATGCCGAAAACCCACCCCAGGAAAGACCCCAAAGCATGCGACCGCGCGCTTTGGCGGGGGCAAACCACCTTTGCATCCCCGAGTAGCATTAATTCTTCCACGGACAGGATAAAACTTTACCCATTGATAAAACAGTCAGTGAATGCACAAGAATATTCTTCCCCCTTTTTCCCACGCCACCGGCACAGCAAAGGCCATCGTCCTGGGGCAGAGGGACGGCGACTTTTTGGGAGGGAAAATGCCAGTTTGCTCAATAAGGGGTATGACATGGGGAATCCCATTTAAGCCCTCCCCACCAAGGAAAAGGCAATTTTTTGGTCCAGCATCTTCGGGCTGGCCAAGAGCACACCCATTTACCAGAGGACCTTATATAGCATTGCCGGGAGATGCTGTACATAAATACAGCATATAAAAATCTATAAAACCACCTTCCGCCAAAATTTGGTGCTATTTAACCTGAGAACTGCTTCTTCCCACCCAAAAGTCGCCTTTTTACTGGGGGGGTCACTCTTACAAACAAGAGCTCATCCCCCTGGGAGAGCCGGAAAGGGCTGGGAAAGCTCTTGGCCATCCGGCAGCACATCCGCAACTTGGCAACTTGTCCCCAGCGAGGGACTCCCAAAGCCACCAATGCTTTGGAGAGGTCATGTACCCCATGAAACAAAGGTGGTTTTAGGATGGATGGGCACTTACCACCTGTGGCTTGGTCCTGGGGCCGTGTTCGTCGGGTGGCCGTGGGCACCGAGGCAGCCGGGGCGGTGGGGCAGCAGGCGGAGAACGGGGTCCATCCCCAGGACCAGGGGACGCATCACCTGAGTTGAGGGCCAGCATGTACCGTTTGGTGACATCCTCCAGTGAAGGAGGCTGGAGGGTCGGGAAGGATTTGCCGGGTGAGCGGCCAGCAGCCGGCACAGGGAGGTGGCTGTGGGGGCCAGAGGGGACAAGCGGCTCCGGGGGGGGGGGTGGG